CATTCTATCAGAAATATGCTTAAACATGCCTGTCCATCTGTGGTTTGCGCAAAAATGATCAGACACTGTAAACATAAGCTCATAAAAATCTCTATACGCCTGTTGGGAAGATTACACAGCAAGTTTCTGATTTTATTAATTTATTGTAACAATCTTTGCCCCTTTTCTTGGTGAGATTTGCTTATCTTCAACGATCAGTTTTGATGTATCTTGCAGATCATATATTGCCCACCTCTTTTGCCATGCATACTGTACAGGCTGCATTCACTTATCCTCGTCTAGTCCTGGTCTGGTTTAGTCCTGATGTAGTCTTGTTTTGGGCCTGTCATAGAGTAGTCTAGGTTTAATCCAGTTTAGTCCCTGTTTAGTCCAAATTTTGATGTGATGTGTGACTAATGAATGCAGCCACAGTTTGAAAATAAGGTTGGATTTCATTTGTTGTGACGGTCAGATCCGGGGTATCTTTCTGAGACACATTAACTGTCCCTTCCTTCCTGAAGCGAGGACCAGTTTCCTGCCACTCTCTGTGTGTGTGAGCAGTGAAAAGATTGTGTGGAGTTTTCACATTGTTAAACATTTCCTCTTTGGCCTTCTCCTTCCGCTGCCCGCTGTGTCCTTAAAGACTGATACATCTGCTTTATCTGCCCTTTAATAGATACAACTCTTGCTGTCTTCAGTTTGAGATGATAGCATGCAGTAGAGATTTGTTGTTGTGCATTATCAAACCAGCAAACTGCTCACATGTATTAATATAGTTTAAGCAACACCTAAAAGTTACTAAATGTCATGTAATATTGGATTAGGTTTGAAAGGGGACATTCCTAGCTTTTTTATTTTTATTTTTATGTGTGGTAATTGGGTAATTATTCTATTAGGCCTGTCACAATAAATACTATATTGAGTTATTGTTCAGTACATGATAGATGGAACAATAATTTTTGGGAGACAATATTTATCATAGTTTTGTTCTAGTGAGACATTTTTGGTTATTATTTCTCCAATATGATTAGAATTGATTTATTATAGATACAAACTAACTACTTTAACTGCTATTTATTTATTGCAGCTCATGTGTTTATGATTTGAAGCCCTTTTTTGTCAGATAATCCTTCTTTATGGTTTGGTTTTAGTATTGTCGTTTCTCAAATGATGATGCTGGTGAAAATGAGGTGATGCTGTATATTGTTGTGAGTATTCAGCAGTCACAGTTCTTCACAATTTCTCTTGTGTTTTCTCCAATATACCAGTACAAGCCTCAATGTTGTGATATGAATCCCTGGCTCTGTCAGTTTGCTGGATGTGTCTCCCCACTCTTTGACCCTTTTCACATTTATTACGATTCTTTTTATCAAATGAAGCCAAGGGGCCATGAAAGTGCATTAGCTCATTCAAATCTATCTATAATACTCTTGTGCTTACTATAATTTTTATTTTTACTTTAACTTATGCATTTGTATAACTATGCCATATTTTATAATCAGTCTCTTGCTATTTTTGCTACTTATTTTGAATGTATTGTTACCATTTATACTGTTGCTCTTTGTTGTTATATTATATTGTAATTTGTGAGCTACTGTGTCCAAATCATTTCCATTGTGGATCATTAAAGTTTGTAAAGTAAAGTCTAAGATGGCTAAGTACTTATAAGTGCATCACAGTATTATGATTTTATTTTAATGTCCATGATTTTCTGGGTTCTGTTGACAGAGTGGGTGTTTGTGGCTGCGGTGGCTCTGGGCTCTGTGCTCTTCTTGTTGCTGGTGGGGGTCTGTTGGTGCCAGTGCTGTCCTCACTCGTGCTGCTGCTACGTCAGCTGCTGGTGCTGCCCGGACACATGCTGCTGCCCCCGACACTGTAAGACCCTCCCCACACACCCAACATGCACTCACTCACACACACACAAGTGCAAGTGTAATCTTTATATTGAGCATTTAAACTGTATTCCATGTTGGTACTTCTAGGGTAAAACACTCTGAAATATGCATTACACATGATGTAAACCTCTCTGTCTCCTGCTTTTTAGTGTATGAAGCAGGTAAAGGCATAAAAACAGGCCCCTCCACTCCAATCTACCCTCCATATTTTGTCTCTGGAGTCCCAGCCATGGTCCCCATTGCTCCCCCCTCTCTGGTTGATAAGTCCTCTGTGTCTGTACCTCCGTCAGATGCCACTCTAGTTACAGGTAAATAACATTTTCTTGTATATTTTTTCCTCATTTAATTTTATGTATAGTTTGCTAAAACATTTTTCCTGGACTATAAATTTCATGGTGGTCAAACCCGCATGCTTGTTGCTAATGGTAAGTGTGTATGTCTAGTTCCGATTCATGCAGTGAGCGCCCCCTACTGCGTGCCTTCAGTACACGGATCAGAACTCTCTCAGGGTGCTGCAGTATGTAGAGAAACAGCTGGCCCATTTCAACCCGGCCAGGTCCACGAGTCACCACTGTAAGCCTGAAACCCGCTCTGTGGCTCTCTCCTCTGGATCAGTCTACTGCAGCATGCCATTTCAATCTGCTACCACCTTCTTCTGATCATATCTTAGTAATTCTCTTTATAACTGGAGTCTTTGCATGTTTCTCAACCTGATGGTATATTATTAAAATTTCCTGTAGTTGAACTGTGTGATAAGTATGGGCATAGACCTGGAAAATGAAAATATGTAACATTTCTTAATATTTTCTTACAGACTTAACACTTCCACTCCAACGTTATAATACTTGTTTCTTGTAAAACTCTTAAGATCATAATTAAAGGTCCTATATTACGCAAAATTGACTCTTGTGAACTTTAAGCCATATTATAATGCTCTTACCTCATGAACAAACATACCTGGAGCTGAGTTGGGGTTTTTTCACGTTTTAATAGTCCTGAATCATTAGGCAGTCTCCATCCCTAAAGCTCAAAATGCTCTGTTGCACCATGTGATGTCACAAAGTGGTAGTAAACAGCTACCTTTTACCTTAAATTCAGTAGAGATTCACATTTCCAGAGCTGAAATGATCCAAATGATTCTAGTGAAGGTGTATAGAGTTTAAAAATACAGTGGAGCACTTCCTGTATTGCTACATGACATCACAAGGTGGAGTGTTTCTTTTTTGGAGAAGAGCTCTGCGTAAATATGCAGGGCTTGTGTGTTAAACATGTGTGAATGAAATAAAAGTCCAGGTACGTTTTTGATGAGGAAACAACATTAAAACATAAATCAGAAAATAGCGTAATATGAGCCCTTTAAACGTATTTATTTTATTGTATTTTTAAACCTATGTTGTTTCTCTGTCCAGCGAGCAGCGCCTCTGAGCTCAGTTCTCTTCACGAGGGAGAAAACAACAGCAACTTTAGAAAAACGTTCAGAAATGTCCAGAAAAAAGCATTACCGGCTATTCTCGATGTGGATTCAAACGTTGAACCTGCACCACAACGTCCCCATGACAACCTGCCTGCACCTCAACGCTACCACAACAACCCAACGTCACCACGGCGCCAGCACCATGACAACCCACCATCACCGCAACGGTACCATGATGACTCTCCATCACCAAAGCGCTTCCATGACAAGCCCCCATCACCACCACCACCACCACGTCACCGGGACAGTCCACCCTCGCCCCCCCGAATCAAACCGTCCTCTCCTCAGCACTACCACCACAGGCCGCCGTCGCCACAGCGTTACCGTAACAACCCTCCTTCACCCGAGAGTCACCGCGAGAGCCCTGCCTCATCACACCGTTACCAAGACAACCCACCACGGCATTACCAAAACAACCCACCCTCGCCACAGAGGTATCGAAAGGACCCACCGTCACCGCAAAGGCATAGGAAAGACCCCCCCTCTCCAAAACGGTACAGGGATGAACCAGACTCAGAGTTGTACTTCAAACAAGAGAAACCTCTGGTCCAGCGAAGGTTCAGCGATGACCCCCCAGACCCCTCCCAGACCCGGAGACCAGGGACCAAACACCAGCCAAACCACAGAGACCAGGACCATCAGAGGTAGACAAGATTCAGTGCAACTTTTCTCTTGTCACACAACTACTGGCACATTACAATTACACATATTCATTATTTTGATTCATAAATAATTATTTTCATATTTTCTGGTTCCAATTGACTTTACATTGAAAAATTGTCACCCCTCTCTCTGTAACTGCTGCAGTGAGCCTCATCATTTTGACCTTAAAATGTTCGTATTAATCCACTCTACATGACCCTGGTGTTATTCTTAATATGAAACTAGCTCCAAATTCACTCCTATAACTTCTAGCCTCATGAGCTGCATTTGGCTGGAGCCACAGGTTGACGTCACACTCCCTTAAACCTAAAAAAAAGAGCCCTAAAAAGTTGCCCACACAAGAGCAAGTGTGAATAAAATGTTACATGTTAGTGTAGCTGCTTCTAAGGATTTTAATGGATTATCTCAGTGTTTCCCAAATTTTTTGTCTAGGGACCCATATTTTAATAGTCACAAACCTTTGAGACCCAAGTCAATAGACATTTTTCAGAAATCACAAAATAAAGGAGGATTTGACCATTATCGAACATTAATGAGGATATTTTATTGTTGACTGAGTGATCATGTCTCTCTGAACAATTAGTATTACTCAGATTTGACAATGAAAAACAGCCATTGAACCAGTAATAAAAGGCATCCATAAGTCGCCTATTTGGATATTAAATGTAGCCCATTTCTTTCTCTTTTCAACATTCAACTGAACTAGCGATACTGAAACAAAATAGACACTAAAATAATTATGTCTCATGTCAGAACTGTATATTACAGATCTACATGAAAAGGCAACCCAAAAGGGGGCCATAAACTGCTGGGACTGACTTGACTGTGAATGAGGCTTTATCCATTGAGACTGTAAAGATGAAGTCATCAGGGGTCCACTCTCAGATCATGACAAGGCTCCCCCCAAAAAATCTAGAGACCCACCTGAGGGTCATGACCCAGTCTTTGGGAAACACTGGATTATCCTACTGTAATACTCACTCTCTGATCTACTATGAATAAATGTAAACTAAATGGCTTGTAATGTCCCTGGGTATATTGAAAACATTACTGTATGCCACTCAAGTAAGATGAAATGGCCCGCCAACCACTGTTACTATAAATAGGCAAATGTTTGTTATGTAAGTACTTTATAAAAATATTTCTGTCTTTACAGGTGGAACCCGCGTTCAGAGCATCTACAGAGAAAGTCTTATCGCTCTGGTGAACGGACTGTGTCTCTGGATGAGCTGGAGGAGTTTGCTTTTTCATATTCACAAAGAAGAGGAAGAGGCGCGGAGAGGGGAGCAGAGGACAGGACAAACTATGAGCTCCAGGAGTTTGGTCAACACAATACTTATGATAATGGAGTTACACAGCAGTATTATACCAATGAAACCCACATGGGACAGACCAGTGACCATGAAGACTATCCCAGGAGGAAAAACAGAAGGGACATTAGCCCTCTAACATCCCCTAAAAAGAGAAGAGGAACTTGGGACACTGATCGCCCCGTACCCCCTCCTCCAAAAGTCAGTCCCCCATCCTCTTCCTCACAAGAGAAAGACTATGACCCCACTTTTTTGAATAGCCTTCTGGATCGCAAGGCTAAGCTACGAGGGGTTAGCCAAGAGAAGGGGGCGTCAAGGGGAGACGGGGGGTCAGACACACCCTCCAAAAGCAGCGGAAACCAGGGCAGCGGGGAGACACATAGACACTCCCCGAATAATAGGCCAGATGGAGACTCACTGCTTTACTCAGATACAGAAAGAAACAGGAATCAAAGTCCACCATGGAGATCTGTCCCGGGGAACAGCGGGTCCTCCCAGTCGTCTGCTCTGGTTCAACCTGGACGCAGAGAAGAAACAAGGGAAAAGCCAAGAAAAATGGTGAGTTTGTAGCTTATTTAATCAGTTGCGTTCACATTCTGGAATCTGATTATGTAATTTCACACAGAGGACAGGGGCCCAGGGGCAGATCAGTGGAGAGGCGAGCCCACTCACTGTAAGAATGCAAGATTTTAGGTGAATAACAACCCATGTTTTTGAGTAAATGCTAGGTTGATATACTTGATGTCATACAAGGACTTTCCAGACAAAACAATAACATCTCCATGGACACAAGCAGGTGGTGGATCCCCCATCAGAAAAGTTACACTGCGCACCTTTAATCTCTAGGGTTTCTAGAATGTGAACGCAACCCATATCTACAAATGTAACAACCCAAATTGTTTATCATGAACAAAAATGTGTATGCATTATCTTAGCTTCTCATTTGGGGAAAATATGTCAAATGTAGTTAAATCTGTTGGTTGTTGTTGCTGTACTTTTAACAGGTCAGGTTCAGAAGCTATGAGGATGAAATCTTTGACCTCTAGGTAGACGGCTGTGTTGTGTCACCCACCACCCTTTAACCTTATAACTGGTGAAGCCCACTACGCCACCTAAAATCTGTGACAAAATATGTATTGTCTGCAGACAAACAAACTGCATTGGAAGTGAAAATTGTCTTGTCCCAGATTTTAAGTAACCCAGTTTTGTTTAAAAAAAATCAATCATTTTTAATTACATTTTTTCTTTTTTCTTTTTTTTTTGCGTTGGATATATAAAAAGCAATTGTATGTTTTTCATGAAGCTCAGCTGTGATTGCCCACCACTTGCTTCTGGTTTTAAATTTTCCATACATATTTTCCAATAGATTTATATTAATATAAATATAATTTTAATAATTTGAAAGCTTGCTCTGGGTTAATCAACTATGTAGTAATAAATCATATAAGTCATAAGATTTTAGAGAAATTGTATTAAAAATCTGTTACTGAAACTTCATCAAGAGCCAAGTTTTAGTGTTTTCTGAACTGAAAACAACTGTGTTATGGAAAATAGTTACTAATAATAATCACGTAGCTGATTATTCTTCATTGTGCCCTGAAACTCTTACATTACGCTATTTTCTGATCTATGTTATAATACTGTTTCCTCATCAAAAACATACCTGGAGTTGTATTTTCTTTCATTCTCACATGTTAAACACACAAACCCTGCATATTTACATGGAGGTCTTCTTCAAAAATGTGTGAATGAAACACAAACACAACTCCAGTTTGTTTTTGATGAGGTTACAACATTATAACATGCCTTAAAGCTCACAAGAGTCAATTCTGCATAATATAAGACCATTCAAATTTGATATTTTTTAAGTCTTTGGGAAAAATGTATGTGAAACTATATCAGGCTTCACGTGGGCAGGACTGTTGGGCTCCATGCAATCAATACAAAAGCTAAAATATTGAATAACTATCTTGATCACTTTTTCTTCTCACAGAACACCCTCCTGAGCCGGGACTCCCTTATTGTCTGATAGGCCATAAACTGCTGGGACTGACTTGACAATGACACTTGGCTCTTGAATGAGGCTTTATCCATTGAGACTGTAAAGATGAAGTCACCAGGGGTCCACTCTCTCCTCGCCCTGTCTCTCGTCTCTCAGGGCTGGACCAGGACTTAAGTGGACTCTGTGTGTGACCTGGACTGTCCCCTCAGCAGGACAGACCGAGGCCAGCAGTACAATGGGACAATGAGAGGTTCTGATGTAACAAGCCTTTTCCGCAGTGATGGAAATACAGTATAAGGAAGAGGTTTTGTTCTAGATTTTTACTTACAGTCTGGATTGCAAGGTAAAGCTGCAATATGTAACTTTTCTGGTTGGGTGTCCACTACCTGCTTGTTTCCATGGAGATATTATTGTTTTGCCCAGAATGTTTTACAGTGTAGGATTAAACATACAGTATCTATCTTGGATCAAATCAATTAGTTTATTGTTTAAAATACCTTGAGAAGAGGGTTACCTCTCCACAGATATGACATGTAACTTGGCCTGTTGATATCACCTGCTTGTCTTTAAGAAGATATAAGTTTAAAGTCGAACTATGTAACATTCCAGGCATTGTACGCAGACAGACCCCCACTAGAAAAGTTTCATAATGCAGCTTTAATCTTATTATATGTAGCTAAATGAAAGGTTACAGCTGACTTTGTATTCAAATTGTACTTAAACATTTTGTATTTTGTAGTATTTATGCTTGTTACTCTTGTATATCTTTACATCGCCACTAACTAGAATGAGCATTGTTTTGCGCTAAAGATTTGAAGTCACATAGAGTAGATCTGGGAATTCTTACATCTGTTTAACAATGTTGAAACTATCACAATAATATTATATTAATAATTATGCATTTCCAGGAACTGTCTTAAAAAATCTTACCTGTTCAGAAACTGTATTTTTCTTAAATGTACTGTTGAAGTGTTGAGTTTACAGCTCAGTTTGCTGCCTCCTGGTGGCCACAGAAATAATACTGTATTGTTTGTAATGTAACTGCTATATGGGTCAAATGAATTCCTGGCCTCCATTCTCCTCTGAAGCAGGTGTGGCTGGCCAGGCTAGTTAAATAATGCAGCACAACCAAAATGTGTTTTATAAATATTAGTGTTTAAATTTTTAAACAAAAGTAAAACTTTTGTATGTTTTGTACTTTTATTTTTTATAGAACATTAACATATTTATGTTTGTCCCACATATGATGTAAATTATAAATCTCATTGTTGTTTCGCTTTTAATATTGACTTTAATTTTGACTTGTTTGCATTTGTAAATTAATCATAGCTCACGGTGTACACAGGATCCATGTTTGATAAGTTTCTTATCACCATGTTTCCCTTATCTTTTGTATAAACTGTAAGTTACAAGTTTGTATTACAGATAAAATTGGTTATTTTTTAGATAACGTTTTGATATTGTTCATTACACTGACAGTGTTAACCACACATTACACAGCACTGTGTGAAATATAGCAACATCTAAATTTACACTTCTGTTTTCTGTTGTTTAAAATATATACATGTACTTGTAAATTCTTTACTTTATATTTGACTTAATCCATTTCATACATACATAAGATTTCCCAGTGACCCTCTTATATGTCCCTGGACCTCCATTTGAGAACCACTGCTTTAACACACTTAAGCTGGTCCCTTATCTCCTCTCGAGCTCCTCATATCAGTGTTTTGTTTCACTCCTGTTTCTGTTCAGGCTGAATGAGACTTTCTGTAAATGTCCCAGTGTCACTGCAGATGACTCATGCAGTGTCTTTGTCTATTGTTGTTTTCACAGATTCACAGTCTTTACTCTGCAGCTGTGTCAACCCTTACCTTTTACATTTTTATACACAACATAGATACATTATTTGCTCAAATGGTGTCCTACTTTACTACTTTTAAATGTTATCACTATCATTATAACAATGCTCATAATATTCTGTCTGACAGAAAGAGACCAGAACAAAATAATGTAAAATATTGCTGATGAACTAACACAATTTCACTATAAATGTAGTTATTTTGATTGAAACAAAAATAAACAAAACGTGATGAGTGAGAACAAGTTACCAATGAAACTGTTAGCTTATCAAACTACAGTTACCACACTAAACTCATCAAGTGAAGCCTGGTGTTCAGGGGGAGAGATGAGTTGGGACGGCGCCCACTCAGCCCCAGACTATCTCAGGAATGTAGTTGAGCAATTTCCGCTTCAGGTACATGAGAAACATGGCATCACAATGGTAGCCTATTAATAGCCTATTACTAAAGTGCAAAGAGTTGGCTGCTGGTGAAATTGTTGAAGCCAATTGTTGATTATTATTACATACTGCAATAAAAATAAATTAATAAAAAAGGTGTTATCTGCTATTTTTTTTTTTTTTTTATAAATGCAGTTTCAAGTTTTTCTGTCATAAGTTCATTGTTTGTGTAGTATCTTAATATCTTAATTTATGTATGACTTAAGTCTGGCTTTTTGTTATTGTTTCTATTTAAATTATTTAGTAAATGTAATTCTGTAAAGCATAAATCAGGCTGAAACATATCACATCACATGGCCAATATCTGTCTTTTTTTATTGGTAAACATATAAAAATAGTTACAAGGCTGCACTGTGAAGAATCATGCTTGAGTGATCAACCATTTCAAGAGCTTTTCAGTTCCTTGAATTACTTGTTCCTCTTGGTTTCTGAGCTTTGTGATCTAAAGCAGCTTGTGAAGGAAATGAGATTTGTCCTGAGTGGTGGGAGAAAACATCCAGAACTCTGCAGGTTTGGGATGGGTGTGCTTGGAGACAAAACAACCCTAGAATCTGAGTCAGAATTGGAGTAGAATCAATGGATACACACAGGACTAAATATAGCTACAATAAAGTGACAATTGTAATATATACATAGTAGCTGTAAATAGTGTAGTTAGGAATCTTGGATGAAGGAAAATATAACTCCACATAGCGCAAATTATTCTACTACTAAGGGAGATTGAAAGTGAAAGGAACTATTAGGAGCTGTGGGGACCTCTAGAGGCCGTTCAGATTAATGCATACTGTCATTGTGTCCTTAAGCAAGACACTTCACCCATTTTTGTGAAGTATGAATGGTGTATGAGTGATGGAGTGATGGTGGAGGTCAGATTGGCAGCCAGTCACATTCATCAGTCAGAAAGAACTGAGTAACTTAAATGTAACACTTTGAGAAGCAGCTTAAGAGCAATTCAAGTAGAAGACATTGTTATTATTGTAGTTCAGACTTAAACAAATACTAGAGTCACACTGTTACGGCCATTTTTGACCCACATTGGTTCAAGGTGTTTGGGGTGGAGCCTTAGGGGTGGAGCCTAGTGGCTCATAGCCAGGTGGCCTTTGTGGCCTGATTATTCTTTGTGTGGAAGCTGTAGGGGGTTGATGCCATACAGTTTTTTGACCGTGTGATCAAGATATTTTGTGTATTCTTCAGTTATGGAAGCTGCATCTACAATTAAACCTCATAATCAATATTCTGTAAGTTTGGACATTGAATCTTTCAGTTTTCATCTTAGACACATGAGTCAAGCTAAAGCCACACAGCCCTCACAGCTATAGTGGCAGACTGGAGTTAAACTGCCACTACACACACTCAGCATGAACACAAACAAGATTACTCTATTATACACCTGTCCATTGTTTAAAAAATAAATAATGTGAGTTATTGAAGGTGAAAATTCAGGTGTTATTTTTAAAATAGTTGATTGTATTATATCCTGGTTTTAAAATCTAACCATGGTTCCAGTCAGACATATACATGCTAAAACATATTCTGACAATTATACAATCAGAACTTATGGTTAGATAAGCCCATATGGGGGAAAAAACTTCAGTAGAGTACATAATTGTATTTAATTGATTTCTAATAGGCCTATGTCTTAAAGAGCCCATATTATTCTATTTCTGATCTATGTTATACCAAAAAACAAACAACAACAAAACATCTCCAGGAAAAATAGCTGATAGCTAATGGAGGTCAATTAAATACAAGATCAAATTGCCAATTGCCAAATGTTTCTTCATCAAAAAATATACCCAGAGTTGTGTTTTGTTTCATTCACACATGTTTAATAAGCAATTCCTGCATATTCATGTGGCAATACAGGAAGTGCTCCATTATGTTTTTAAACTCCAGAATCATTTGGATGATTTCACGCTTGGAACTGCCAATTTCTGCTAAACAAAATGTAAAAGGTAGCTGTTAACTTCATGAAACAAGGTGAAAAGAGAACATTTTGAATTTTGGATATGTAGGTACACTAATAATAATGGGTTAATCAAGTATGAATGAAACAAAACACAACTCCAGGTATGTTTTGATGAGGTAACGTTATAACAAGAGTCATTTTTGAGTAATACAGGACCTCTAACAGAGCCAATTATTGCACTTATTGTTGTTTTGTTTTAACAGGTCACATCTTGTTTATCGGTTCAGGGGGTTTCTGAGCGTCACCAGGATGAGTTCACCTGTCACCTGTGCGCCGGTGCTGCGTGGTTGTTTCGGGGTGTGGCCTCCGTTCAGCAAAGACTCTCTCCGTGGACAGACGCACGGGCCAAACAATGAGCAGCACGGCTTGATTCACCTGCCTCGAGCTTTGTGCCGGAAAACGAGCTCCTTTTGTGTTTTCACTTTTCCCAGGGCGTTTGGATTTGTGAATTTTATCTGTTGTTTGGTCTCCCTGTGGCTGTGTTTTCAACATGCGGACTGTAGCTGCCGCGATTCTGCTGCTGTCGCTGATATCAGGTACATTTTATCTTATAATAATAGGAACATTTATTGAAGGGTTAGGTTAGAAGACTTTACAGACGTCATGTTTGTAGATTCGTAAAATAAAAATAAAGAAAACAGCATGTACACTTTACATTTTACACTGATGCGACTCACCTGCAGGTATCGATCACGTGATATTTTTATCTCGACCAATAAATCCTGCTCGTACCGTAATTGATTCATACATTTGATCAAAAAATCAGCCAGAACTATTTGTATATTCTCCAAACAATTTCAATTATGACACGCCTGTTTTACTGTCAGATATGTATAGCCCTTCCTTTTATATTCTTACACATTTTGCTTTACTAATTTCACAATGAGAGAAAACTCAGCCCTTGTCTACTATTGTTCCAAAGATTTAGAAACTATTAAAGTCTTTTTCTGACATTTTTCCTTGCTTTTTTGGCGTTTGCGAGTTTCACTGAGACTTCCTGTGTCTTTGTCAGTGCCAGTTTTTCTGGTTTGTCCGCTTTTACATGAGCTCCTCACTCCAGTTTCATTCAAGGCCTGCTGCTTCTCTGGGCCACACACAGGTTAGCTAAGGCTTAGGCTTAGTCGAAAAAGAAATGATTTTCACAACCTGCTTATTATAACAAACTTTTGTCATTTGAATTGAATATTATTAAAACAAACTCAATTCTACCACTGTTGTCTGCTGTTATAATCTAAATGTAACATAAAAATGTAACCCAAAATACAAACTGAATACAGAATTGGCAGTGAAATTAGGCCTATAAAATATCTATCTATATTAATATCAATATAAGATGCAAAAATATCTGACATACATTGACAAAGCATATAAGGTATCATAACTTTTTAGAGAGCCTATATTAGACTGTGTTAAATGTTGTTATAATGTTGTTTGCTCATCAAAAATATTCATTCACACATGCTTAAAACAAACGCTGCATATTTAGGGGTAGGAGTTCTTGTTGAAAATAGAAAACTCTCTGTTACATCTTGTGATGTCATGCGGTAATACAGGAAGTGCTCCTCTGTATTTTTAAACTCCATACACCTTCATTAGAATCATGGATGATTTCAGCCTGGGGATTACCAGTCTCTACTTAAAAAAAAAAAAAAAAAAAAAAAAAAAGGTAAAAGGCAGAGCATTTTGAGCTCTGGAGATGTAGACAGACGACTATTAAAGGGTTACCAAACATGGGTGAATGAAACAGAACACAGCTCCAGGTATTATATTATAACATTACTTAAAGCTCACTCAATTTTGCATAATATAGGATCTTTTAATCAGTTGTTTATAGTTGTTTAAATATACTTGTATGTCCTAATTTTTCATATAACATTTGCAGTTAAATGCATCAGTGGATCTAAGTTGGTGTATTAAAACTTTTTGTTATTCAGCTGCTTTTTCAGCAGCACCAAGCACCAATGAGGTCAAAGTACCCTGGACAGGACAGCAGTATTTGCTTTTTTAAAATCTATTTATTTGTATTTATTTTTTTATTAATAAATATGTGTTTTTTATTAAGTTTGACTGTCTCTCTTCCACAGGGGCAGTGAGCATCCAGGTGATCGTCCCAGAGGTGGAGAGGAGCACCGCCCTGTTCGCCTCTGTTACTCTGCGCTGTGATTACTCCACCTCCTCGGGTACTCAGGACGTCCTGGTCACATGGAAGTACAAGTCCTTCTGCAAAGACCCTGTATTGGAATACTACTCCACATGTGAGTCATTCATTTATCACTATAGGTAAAAACATGTTTGAATGGTTTAATTGAGACTATTATTTATATTCTGTAGCCTACCAGTCAGCCCAACAGCTGGGCCAAGATCCCTCCAATGACTGTCCTGACAGCCAGCGCACTGTACGCATTGTGGTCCAGAAACGCGGAGCCAATGAGCCCACTCTGGGGGCTGAGTACCGCAACCGCAAAATCACCATTTTAAACAGTAAGTTTAGACATTGCAATGGAAACGGTTTCACTTTCACTTTTTATGACTGTCAGAACAAACAATATAGCACATGAGGTTTGTAAACTCACTGGATATGTCCATAAAATAAAAATGACATTAAATGTGATTTAAATGGTTAAATGGAAATGTTATAAAGAGTTTGTGCTTTGGCAGAGGCGGACCTGCAGATCACAGAGGTGATGTGGTGGGATAACGGAGTGTACTTCTGTCAGGTCGATGCACCCGGAGACACTGTTGGAGACAATGACAAAGAAATCAAACTCATTGTTTATCGTAAGCCACCTTTTTGTAATATAGATGTGGTTTATTTTACATAATTTGGGGAAAGATAATTTTAAAACCAATGTTTACAAGCTGGAATTTGAATTTCACAAAAAATATCAAATAGTTGGCAGGTTGTTGAAGATCTGATGTCTTTAATGCAGGACAATACAGTATTACTCAAACGTGCATATGTCACTCAAAATACTATGTTGAGTAAGCTAACAATAAAGGGAAGTCTTTATAAGATTTAAAGGTCATGAAAGTCCCTTTCACTTAACATGTTTCGTGTTGTGCCTCTGTTTCAGACTGGCTCACGGTCTTGTTCATCATCATCGGGGCCCTGCTCTTGATGCTGCTCTTCTGTATCTGCTGCTGTCAGTGCTGCCCACAGGCCTGCTGTTGCTATGTCCGGTGCCCCTGCTGCCCACAAAAGTGCTGCTGCCCTGAGAAATGTAAGGACGCTCTGTTCACTTTGTGTAGTCTACTGCAGTCTAGGATTAAGAAGTCCTTGATATAATAATGTTTCTGACATAATAATAATGTTGTGTTTCAGTGGTGATGCAGCATCGTATGATGAAGGAGGCACAGAGGGCCATGGCTCCCTGGTTGGGAGGACAGCCAGTGTACGCTCCCATGAGCCAAATGTCATCTCAGATGAATCCTCTTCTTTATGCAGGTACAACTGTTTTTAGTGGCCTCTATAATGTTCAACACCAATGGCAATAAAACTGATGCCTCTCTGGGGTATTTCATAGAAAATATATTGACATTTTATAAATGTTTATTTTATTTGTAGGTTCAACTTCAGGGAAGAGCATCCCACTGAAGCCCATGCCCCTACCCCCTCCCCAGTCATCCGCCTACAGCATGCCCCCGCCAAGCTCTCGCAGCAACAACACAAACCAGATGCTGGACTACTTGGAGAACCAGGTGAGGGGGATGGACGTCAACACCCCTCTGTTGCAGGTGAGCCTCTGTCTGCTCTGTTGGCTTTTTAAAGTCCTTTTGTTGTCTTTGTAAACAGAATGTAACTTTGTGTCCTTGTCCCTCCAGGCACAGCCAATGCCTCCTCCCCACATGCAGCAGATGCCCCCTCCTCCACAGCACATGCCCAATAACATCCCTTTCTCCCCTGGACCTCCAAGCATGCTCTCAGCTCTGGATGATGCTCCAAACGAACGCCGGGTAATCACACTCCCTCCAATCAGAGAGCAGAGCAGGGCTCCACCAGCACCCAAAACGCGCCCTCCGAGCTCCAGCGAAAGCAGTCGCAGTGGGTTTGGGCGTAATAACGACCGCGGGGCTGGTGGTAGGCGTTACCCTTCACCTTCCCGCTCCAGGGGTATTCCCAGGAGTTACAGTGAGGAGTCCCTGGATGGGAGGGGCCGCTCAGGGGGCAGAGGGGGCATGGATCGACCTCGCTCCAGATCCAGAGACGACCTGTTTGATGCCAGGTCCCGGAGTAACTACTCCCCTCCTGCAACCCGGAGGTCCCCAGGATCCTGGAGCTCTGATGAGGACAGTCGCAGAGGAGGAGGGCGAAGGGGCGGAGCCTATGGCGACAAACCGCCAAGCTACACTGAATATGAGCCGGGCCAGAAACCAGGGGCACGGAGGAACGACCGCTATAATGTAAGGCAATCACTGCTGTAGGCTATGTTCACACTAGCCCTAAAGTGTGCTACAGAACATCACCATCTGATTTATTCATGATTATTTGAACAAGTTCCTTTTGAAAGTGGTTTTGTGGTCTAATAACCACAACGCAACAAGCATCTCCCAACAGATGCCATTCAAAACACTCCTATACCTATCTACAGTGATTTTAAAGTGATATTACTACAATTACTATATCACATAAAGTTTTATTTTACCACAGTGAAGACTTTTTCTGGCTTGGCACTAAAATGGAAAAGTAGCCCGAGTATTCTTAAATGCCATCTTCAGGAAAGTGGTTGTAACAGAAGCTACTTTTTCTGAATCTTAATGAAAGAAAATTATGGCACTTATTGCCATCATTACCATGGTATGTTTTATTGTTTATTTTGGATAAAGTATGAAGGTTTGCTTTCTGAACATAGTATACAGCATGTTTCAGAATGTTAGAGAAATATAAGTTACTAAAGTTAGTGTATTTTTCTTAGGACAACCGCTCTCGAACTGGCACCAGTGTCGTCATCTGAATCGTCAAGCTGTGAATCTGTGAAGGTTTTTTTAAGAGCATCCACACCTCAGAATGGACTGGGAGCTGTGATAGGTTGTAAATATGTATGTAAAAGAGTGAACTGTCATATCTTTTTAATATGTATCTTAAATTAAATATTGAAGCTCTTTATCAATAGTTAGTAGTTTGTCAAGTCCCTTCACACTGAGGTACTTTCTCAGGGCCATTTAAAAGCCAATTAAAGATAAATGGTACAATAGGTTTTATGCCTTCCCTTGGTAGCCTACATTTGTAGTTTTATTTTTGTTATGTAAATAGTGTTTTCAAACATTTTAAATGAAGTTGCACATTAAATGAAAATGCCCTGTGTATTTCTGGAAGTGCTTTGAATAAGTGTCTGTTACTGCATATCAGTTTGAAGTTGTTCTTTCTGTGAGAAATGTTACAAATTACATTGTTCCACAGGCTGTAAGTTATTTGACCTAGGAATCAAGATAAGTTGTTTAAGAGATGGATTAAGGAACATTTTATTTAATGTTTAGTGCATATTAATGATTTTTTACTAAACGATAACTGTTTGCACTGTACATTGTGTTTGAATAAATGTTTTTTAAAAAGGAATTTCACTTTTTATTTGTTTAGCACTGCATTCTAGCATATTGGGTACCACTCACTTTATTTTAACTGTTTCTCTAGATAAATAAAATATTCAAAAAGCTATTTTAAATGCAATGTAGTAGGGTGACCAGATTTTCAAAATAAAAACCTGGGACATCCTTGGATTGGGCTGGTTAATAATAAAATTGTAACATTAAGCATAAGTAAGGAAAATTGTTATGCACTCTGCACTACTGTGAGTCAGTAGTCATAGTTTGTCTTTGTGTTTTGGTCATTTTTAAGCAGCTTTTCTGTATTTTACCTAAACAAATGATAATGTATGCCTCTCTTTACTGTTGACAGGGATCAGATTGGTCAAAAATAGGGACACCTGGGACATTTCTTGTGTAAAACTGGGACAAATCAACGGTTTGGGATAAATCTGCTGAGACAGGGGACACAGGGCTCAAAACTGTGACTGTTCCGAGTAAATAGGGACTTCTGGTTACCCTAAATATGAGATGTATTGCTCTATAAAGCCTTGAAAGATGTTATACGAGGTACGAGCCATAGCCAGTGAGCCAGCTGAGTTGTAGCGCTCATTGGACAATCGTTCAAAGATTTCCGGTAGTATTTTGGTTGATTTTAGATAGCCGTATAAATATTGCTGCGCTGAAGGTGAAAACTACGGCGTTTAAAGGACACATCTGAATTTACAAAACATTTTAGATTTTTTTAGTCAAAACAAACTGCGACTGTGCGAACTGGAGTCGCCTGGTGATGACGTATGGGGCAGAGGAGGTGCGCGTTTGCCACGTCGGTCTCTGTGCAACGCATTTACACTGTTGCTTCTCCTGCTGTGTGCTAACTTTTACTGCCCTATTTATGCATTTAGCTGAACGGATAGGGGACTTTGAGTGAAGCCGGTGTCGTACGAGGTGTTTGTGCGAGCAGAAACGCTGTATTTGAAACGAAAGGGGCTGAAAAATGCACGGGGTTGCTGCTGGTGCTGGAAGCCACACGACAGACTGATGCATCCTCGTTTAGTTCACCCCCCGTATGTGATGTGAGTACAGCGCTCTCTAAACTATTTACATTTTAATCTGCACACATAAACTCTTTTTACGTAACGGTGTCTTGAAAATATACCCAAGCGCTCACATGTAAAGTTTAGGTCATAAGTTTCCGCGGTTTGCAAAAATGACTACGCTCCCTGATGGCTGCCCCCTTTGCATGTCATAGCAAGTCTGTGCAAAAACGTCTCATCTGTGTTCCCCAAACATACAGCCAAGTCAGCCCAACGAAAAACTTGATATCTCGATTCCCTTGAAGCCTTTATTGCACTTCCACAAAATACCATCCAGGGATCCCCTTGTCATGTCAGATACACTCGTTCCCCTGCATGTTAGTTCCTGTTTTCATTTTTATCAGTAATTTCACAGCATTTGACTTTGTATGTGAATTATTGTTCCTTACACTTCTTGCTAATTTGTACATTGTTTAGTTTGTTTTTATTTGTAAAATCAACTGCCAGAAGTAATATGCCAAACATTTTAGATATTAAAAGATGCTACTGTTATGATTCATTCAGATTCAGTTTGAATAGCTCATTGTAAATAATCCCAATGGAAACTACTGACTCTCTGTTCATTGTAGCTATTGATAATAAGTCTTAAATGTAGATTTAGATTTCTGTATTACTCACTTTCTTTCATTTGTGTGCTGACTCAATAAACACCTCCAACGGATGGTTCCCCAGTCTGACCCTGAGAAAAATCAACTTCATACAAATTACAGTAAACAGAAATTAGTTGGGCAACTGTATAGATAGTCAAAATATTCACTTTTACTTTTAACCCTCAGTTGTTTTCAGTCTCTTGCATCTAAAATAAATGGAATATCTTGCATAATAACTTGGGTTAAAAATAGTATGTCTTATGTCTGTATGGCATTTAACAGGTTTTCTGATGTTTCAGGGCTAAACGGGTCAGTGTAGTTGACGTGTGAGGAAATGGTGGCTTACCACCTGTGCCAGATGGGTTCCTCGGGGAGACTGTGGCAGCTTGATGGGGGTTGACGTGACACAGTTATGTCAAGATAAACTTGTCATTTATGTCATGTTTGGACAGATAAAACTGCCTCTGAGGCCGAATGGTTTAGGAAAAAGTATTGCTATTAGATTTATGTTTCAGAATAAAGATTCAGTTTACAGATCACATTTTGAACATGTCCAGAAGCAATAGCACTTGAGAGAGCACTGAAAGAATTGCTAAACTAATATTAACATGCATATCATAATGTGTTTGTTTGGAGAGGTCTAACCTACTGGATTATCAGGTTTGATGCACAATAAGACACCATAAAGAAAAATGAATATAGTTTTACAGATCACTGTATTATATTAAATAATTGCATTTCATTTTTTGAGAATTGCAATCTTTTAAAGTGTGATTTTTTTTCATTTATTTTGCAGTTATAGTTCCCAGCTGCCTGCCTGCATTAGCTGCAATATATTCTATATTTAAAAATTTTGTTTCTCTCTTCCTTTATGTTTTGTTTATGAGCGATGTGAAAACAGCTGTAGGATATTGTTTCTTTGACATCTCAAGGGCCACTGAACAAACTGCAACAAACTGTTTCGCTGAGTCAGTGTAAAAAGTTGAGCATGATACAGATAAGTCAACACTTCAAGGTTATTTTTTCTACAACTTTATAAAACCATGTTTTAGGCCAGAATGTGTTTCACACCATCAAGTTTTAAATAAAGATTAAGTATATAATATACAATCATCAGTGCATCATCAGCAGCAGCATTTTGTCTACCATCCTTTTGGCAGTTTGGAGCTCTATGTGGATACATACAAGAACAGTGCATCCTCAATATAATGCCACTCAAAATCCTATTCGTATCATTAAGAATTTTGCATCAAAATCTCATTAAACAAATCTTTATTATACTCAAGGGCACAGTCTTAATTTGTGACTACTTTCTGAAGTTGTATGCTTTGTTTCTCTTTGCAGTTTCCCTGGTGTTTATGGTGACGCAGTGAGGACAGAGGGGCGTGTCCCGGAGGCTGTGTGGGTGGGCGTGGTTGCCGCGGTAACTGGCAGCCATGCCCGGGGGTCGCAGGGGTCCCAGCAGACAGCAGCTCAGCCGCTCTGCCCTGCCCTCTCTGCAGACTCTGGTCGGGGGTAACCTGGGCAATGGCACTGGCATCAGGAACAGGTACACCACATCCTTTATTCACAAATATATCACGGAAATGATGGAAACTGACACACTGTTGTGATCACAGCATTATCATACAAACTGTGGAAAATTTTTGGCTCCAAGACCTTAAAGCCGTTATGATCAGATATCCGTGTGTGTGTAAACGCTCATTCAAAACAATGGTACTTCCTGGATATGTGCATGACATCTGCTCCTGCACTTCTTTTACTTCATGGCTGCCTCTCACAAACATGTTTTTGTTTATAACTGGAGGAGTTTTGGCAAATTCTTCACTGTAACATAATTTTGTATAGAACTGGTGGCCAAATAGAGAAAGCCGTTTGTAATCATTTTAGGGAGTTTCTATGATTGTACTATGACATCAGTTATTGTACTTGCAGTTAAGTTTAATCTTTTCTGGTTGCTCTTTTAGTACACCATTTTTGGTTTCTTGAACACAGACTGTGAGATTTGGGAACAAAAGCCCTTTATAGCTCCTTTTTGTTCCTCCAAATTACTTTTATATCAGTTCCTTTTATTGACTACAGAATATGTGTTTCTTTCTTTTCTCCACCCTGCTCATATACTGCTTTATACATATCTAGGGATTGTGTCATCACACCATCACAATTTTCAGTTGGCCCAATGGTTTTTCATGTTGAATCTTGAGCTTTACACTTGGGTTGCAAGATTAATCACAGTCAAATCGAAGAACCAAAATTTTCTCCACAAACAACAAAATATCCTGGTGTATTCTGCATTAAAACTGTTAACCTTGTAGTTTACCATGTTAAACTAACAGGGTAACACATGTGTGAATCTTGTATTAGTTTGTCAGTTCATATTTCAGTCTTTTTTTTTTCAGTTCTCCTGAGTGTGTTTAAAATATGAGCATTGAACAGAATCCTGTTATTAAAACATAATTTGCTAATGTAGTTGGAATTGCATTGTTAAAACAATCGCAATTGGATAATTTTCCCAAATTTTACTTACCTAATCAGCCAGAACCACACGCTTTGAAAAAACTTAACAAAGATGAGTGGATCTGGAGATGTGTCCTAGCTCCCTGATTTCAGAGCATGTGATTGACACATTAACCAATCATGGTGTTTTTACATCATAAACCAACATGGCTGCTTACACATTAGAAAGGACAAAAATCTATATAAAGGACTGAGAAACACTGCAGATTTTTACAGAATCAACAATCTAAGCACCAAACTATTACTTATTTCAGGTAAAAGAAGTAAAATATTTTGTTCTAACCAAGAATTTTCGAGAGAAATTTTCTGCATTTGCGAGACACGTGCTACAAATTAACCATTGTGTTTGGGTCATCAAAAATTTGGACTGGCTGGTCAGGCAAAAATCCTTCGGTCCTACTTTACACTCTTCTCCTCTTGATCCTGATCTGACAGTTGGTTGTGTCCTCTCCAGGAACAGTAACGCTCTGGGGCTGTCGGCTCCGCCCCTCTCGGCGCTCATCACGCCAGAGCCGGTGAGACACTCGAGGATCCCAGACCTGCCTCTAGACAGCAGCCTCCTCTTCGAGTTCCTCCTGTTCCTCTATCTGCTCGTGGCCCTCTTCGTCCAATATATCAACATCTACAGAACCGTGTGGTGGTACCCCTACAGCCACCCTGCGGCGTCTACCTCACTGGTAAGAACAGCTGTGCCAGTGAACAAAGTACAGCTGCAGATATAGAAAGAGAAAGGTTTTGTTGTTGGTTTTGTTTTAAACGCGTTTATACCTGAGGTTGGAATTATCTGGTTTTGTTACATGACACGTGATTTTGATATTAGTTACTTACTC